TTCAGAAATCATTCTGATATGATGATTTGATGCTCAATAAACATTTCTGATTATTATCAATGTTGAAAACAGTTGAGCTGCTTGAAAGAAATTTCAAAAGAAAAGCATTTACTTGCCATAGATTTTTTTTTTATCAATTTAATGCATCTTTGCTGAAAAAAAATTGTCTTAAATACATGAACAACAAGTTAGAATCATTCATTAATTACAGATTAATTAATGATTCTAACTTAATTTTCTAGGCTTAATTTTCTTTATGCAAAATATAATTTCTTTTTTTTTTTCTTTAGATTTGATGGTGAAATGTGATTTGAACATGTTTCTGAGTTTCACGCAATAAGACTGCTAATGCAGTTTTCACTTCACAATTGGCGTTATTATAATTCCATCACAGTACTCATAATCTTCACGAGGGCTTTGCGTTTGAGCCGAGGGGCTTCAGGAGCAGCCTGAGCTGCTCTAGCATTTACAGATGAAAGCAAGGAAAATGTAGTCCAGAATAAGGAGAATGTAAGATGCTTGACTAATGGAGTGAACACTGCGAAATACCTGACAGAATAAATCACAGTATGCTATAACAGATTCTGAAGTAGTAAGCAAGTACTTAAACTTCACATAAACCTTACCTAATGACTAAATCACTAATAATAATAATAATAATAATAATAATAATGTTAAAATACATTGAAGTCATTTGTTTTAATTAAAATGATTTAAGTGGAACACAATATTATGAACTTTCCTAGACTGCATTTCTCAAAAGCATTGTAAGCCTAAGCAGATCGTAGAACCACTGCCCACCAGTGGCCTCTACTATAAACTTAGCTCATGATACTTTTGAGAAACACAGTCCTGGACTTTATAATGTTTACAAAATTAATGCTTATAAAACTAATTTACAAAATATAAAACAACAAATAAATAACATTAATTTTGTTAATATACAGTAAAGTTATTCATTTTAAATATAGCTGCAAGCAGCAATTAAGGGGCCAAGCAAAACAGAGGCAAAGGAGCGAGCATGGCAGCGAGGATCAGCCCAAATGCAACAATTAGTAATTAAAGACATTTTAAGGTGATTTTACTCAAACTGGATGAAAAATCATAAAAATCAATCATTAGTAAAAGTATTTAATTGTTATCAATTTTGAGCAATTAGGTGGCGCTATTACCAAACTGATGTGGTGTGGTCAGTGTGAGGTGACAATGACACACAAAGTTGGTGTCAGTAGGTCAAAGCTTTGCAGAGATACAGCCTCAGATGAAGATGATATGAATCGAATTTGGTAAAAATCTGACCAATAGTCAAGGAAGAGTTAGAAAAAGAAGGTTTTCAACATGTATCAAAATGATGGACAGGAAGTTTAGCTGATTATGGCTAGTAGTAGTGGTCGACCGATATAGGATTTTGAAATGGCCAATGCCGATATTGAAAAATCAATCTGGTCGATTGGCTGATATGAGGCCGATATAATGCATGTAATTACAGTAAATGGGAGGCATGCAGAAAATATATATACATATATAGTTAGTTTACAGAGCACCAGGTTGTTTTAATTATAGTATGGGATAGTTGGTTAATAATAAAGATATATGTCTCTGATCTGTTTCGTTTTGCTTGTCTGTTTCATTGTAAAAAATAATACAAGCCTGAAGGCGTATAATTACATGCTTGGTTATCAGTATATAGCAGCATTAAATAAGACCGGAACATATGAAAAGGTATACTGTGCGTAGCGTCACGTTAGAAAGTGAATGACGATTGGTCATTTTACTGTCTGTCAGGTGCTGGCTTCACATATGAGTGGCTTGTCTTAAAGAGGAAGCATAAAAGCACGATACGGTGTCATAATCCCTTTTGAAAAACATCGGCCACATGGAAAGACTTATTGGGCGATGCTGATACTTAAAAAATTTCAAATATCGTCCGATATATCGTTAAATGAAAACTATTTCATCTATCAACTTGAATTCCAAGTTGTTGTTTTTTTGTTTTTTTGCCAGCATGGTCTGAAGATGATCTGAGCCAAATTTGGTGAAAATCGGATCAGTGATCTAGGAGGAGTTCGAAAAAATCAAAATATAACTTAAATCAAAATGGCGGACAGGAAGTTTGGCTGATTATGGCATAATTGGTATCGATGTTCTTGACATGATCCAAGGAATCTACCAAAACAAGTCTAATGACAATAGGCAAAATTATTCAAAAGTTGTTAGTGTTTTTTTTTAATTAAATTATAATTTTTGACCACAAGGTGGCGCTGCCACAAAACTTTTTGAGTACCTTCAGGGCATGGTGCCGAAGACACATATCAAGTTTCCTAACAATATGCCAATGCATTCGTAATATATAACCTTTTACGACAAAATTAAAAATGGCCGACACCCGAAATATGTCATCATTTCACTCAGAATTTCACACTACATCTAAAGAGAGCTCCAAATGTAAAGAGACCAGTCTTGTGATTTTTGGCAAAACCGTTCAGAAGTTCTAAGCAAAAATAGCAAATTTTTCATCTCCCCTGATCACAAGGTGGCCAGTCTTGTGATTTTTGGCAAACCGTTCAGAAGTTCTAAGCAAAAATAGCTAATTTTTCATCTCCCCTGATCACAAGGTGGCACTGTGCTGAAACTGTGCAGGCAACCTAAGATCACGGTTGTCATAACACACACCAAGACTGCATCTGAAAGCTTAGGCTGCTGACTTGTTGCCTCGCTGCCTTAGCGTTTGCGCAAGAAGGCACCTCACAAAACTGATTTCGGACATGCTTATGAGGCAGCGCAACGGTTTAATGATCTACTAGAGTGAGCTTTGGTGAAAACTAAGCTAATATCTAATTACTATAATACTGATTTCTCACTAGAAGTAACATCAAAAGTGGAAAAAGTTGATCAGAAACGTACATTAACACACAAACTGACCACCAAATGCAACTTTCAGATGCCATCTTTATTTTTCAGCTCAACCGACATGGAATGAAACGCACAGGATTCTGGGATATCAAAGGCAGCGAAGAATGCATCTATGCTGCCTTTAAAAATCGATCAGATGAAGGTATCTTAAGAGGCAGGAAGTGAAGCTGACATTGGATTCCGACATGCCTTGATGCCTTCCTAACTTGGAATGCATCCTCTGGAGGGTTTGATTTTCGTGAAAATCGGACAAACAGTCTGTGAGGAATTCGAAAAAGTAGGTTTTTCGAAAAATTCAAAATAGCAGAATAATTTTTATGATGGACAATGACATCATAGGGTGCATTTGAATCAAATGTTGAGCCAAGGAATCAGAGGAAAATAATTTTGTTGCCCTTACGGTTCAAAAGTTATTAGCACAAACATAAGAGCAAGTCTGGACAAGTGGTGGTGCTAGAGGGTCTAAGTCCGAGACTCCAAATTTGGTGTGGTTAATGTTCAAACTGTCCTTTATCTGTGTGCCAAATATCACAACTTTTGACCATACAGTTCTATGGGCTGCCATAGACTTCCAGAGCGGAAGTAGAAGTAGAAGAAGAAGAAGAACATACATAGATAATTACGTTTAATTAATTATGATGCACATGAAAATCGCATGCGATTAATTGCACAGCCCTAACTGTTATTCATATTTTCCATCTTTTACTCTCACTCTCTACTCTCATTTTCTTGATTACTTATGATTTAACCAAGTTCAGTGTTACGTCTGCCTCATTATGCTAATGAAAGCTTTTTCTCGTTGTGTTGCATGCTTGGCTAGCAGATTGCAGTGAAGTGCGAGAGCAGCGGATTGGGCCGTGTGTGCTCAGCTCTTCCCTGCTGATTCGTCATGCCATCAGTATCCTGCCCAGCACAATATAATGATCCGGGCCCAGGTGACACATACAGAGACACACAGCCATGTATGCTTATGCTCCAATGCCCCCTTGTATAGCATGCAGTGGGTGAGGAGGCAGCTCGCTTTACAAGGGGGTGTTACAATCGAGAGAGAACACAAACAAGCAAACAAGAAAGGACGAATTGTTATGGTCGACAGTAATAGACAGGCCTAGACAGAAACTGAGGACCTTTACAGCACTGAATTTCAGAACGGATTTAAACATAGTTAAATGTGCTAAATGCATTTGAGAATATTACATTACACAAGTTAAAAGCATGATCAAATTAGACAAAATATACTATAAACAAGGAGGAGGAGGACATATCTTATTTTTTTTTTTTGTATGGATCGATTATTTACTCAAAAATACAAAAAAATTTGATTTATATGAACAAGCACTTGAATACACCAAGAGCATGTTTTAATTTCTGAATCAACATTAAACTTATTTTTATATTTATGGGTGGGTCAAAAATTTCAGGGTGGAAAAAAAAAACGCTTTCATACGCGTGCTGTTTTTTCCGCTTTCAATTTCGCTTCAATCAATCACTTTCAGCAGGGAAGGGGGGCACAGTAACTTGTTTGGGGGGGGGCAAGTACCCCCCCCTTTGGCGCCGGCCCAGTCTGTAGGTTGCCCGTAAAGGTTTGACTTCAATTCTACCAGCTGAAAAGTCCCCAAAACTGCTTTAAAACAATCAAACTACACCATTTTGTCCAGCTCAGTGGCCAGCCAAGACCAGCAAACCACCTTATGTTGTTTTTTTTTCCCTCAGCAGGGCTGTCAAAAGCACTCACACTATGGTGGTGAGAGCCTTTACAAACTGTCTATAGGGAGTTTTAATGCTGACAGACTGCTGAGGGCTATGAACTGTGTCTTCTGTGGGTGTTTTACCTGTGCTTGCGTCTCCATTCGAGCATACTGGAGCAGCAAAGGCTCTCCGTGCTTCTGCAGGAAGTCTCTCTGACAGCGCTCCGCCAGCGCCGCTTCGTTAGGAAGAAAATTACTGGCCCAAACCTTGAGAGAGAAATGGGAATAACACAAAGACGTGAACCTGTGTGGGAAGTCTCGCTAATCAGACTCTGTTGATACAGAAAAAAAACTTTAGAACTGCTTTCAGAAACAAAACAACATTTCGGGCTCAAATAATCACAAAAAAAAAAATCCCTTCCAGCTATAAAAATAACTAGAACTGCAAAGCAGGCCTGTATTTTACGTATGCAAATTGATAGCACATTATGTGGCCATCGAAGCACGGAGAGCACGGAAACACATCCAATTATACTTCGCAACGAGTGGAGTTGGTACTTGGCGATAACACTTCTCCCATATTTAACCTCGTAGAGATGATTTAGGGAAAGCAATTGGAAAAGACACTTTAAAACATTCATCTTTAGAGCCGCCAAAGACACCCTGAGCTGCCCAGAGAGAGTTCTGACACCGTATCCCATACATCTTCAACAAAAAAGGCTGCTGAGAGAGATTTTGTTTCTCCAATACTTCTCCTCAAAACCGAAGCTCCCACAAGAGCTCTCCACAAACGTATCTTCCTGAGGAAAGAAACTTGGTCATTACTCACTACCGAGACAAATGCGATTTTCTGCAAAGAGATGTCGAGTTTTTGGGCTCTCAATGTTAGCAATTTAAAGTAGTGTCACACACACACACACGCATGGATGACTCTCTCAAGGGTCTTTTCCATGAATTTACAACAATATTTTGCAGTTAATTCCAATTCATAAAACTTTGGAAGCAGTATGTTAAAGAGGATAAGTGTAATATTTCAGATGGTTTTTCCAAGTCTGCACTGTAAAAAATGAGTGTAAATTCAACAGTAAAATATTGTAAAAATGCTACGAAAAAAAACTGTTAATAGGTAAACAGTAAAGCCTTGTTCACACTACACGACTTAAAACGTCGGCAGATCGCTGTGCTGTTCAGACTACATGACTTCTTGGCTGTCTTAAAGTCGTTGTAGTGTTCACACTACGCAACACTATGTAAATGATCCGCAACAGGGGGTGACACACTACACGAGCTTTCAACGACTCTGTCACCAAATGACTCTATCCCATCCCCAAACCCCGTTTTGTCACAAAAACACACGCGAGAAGTTGAACGGGAATAACACGAAACTACAAGTAAAACAGGAGTTGTTTATTTGAAAATGAACATCGGGAAGAAATTAGTGCTGAAAGCTGTTTGCGCGATGAAAAAAAAAAGTGCTATATTTCTTGTGTCCAAACTTTTCTTAAAGCCGTGATGTAGACATGTGAGGGTGTGTTAGAACGAGGCGTTTTAGGTAGGCGTGGCTGACTCTTAACTTTTATAAAGAATATCTCTTTGGATTTGAGACTTTAGTCTTTGCAACTTTACAGATCTTCTTTATGCACCAAGAGCTTGTAACACTCCAAAGAGAAAGGAACAATTTAAATCGCATCATATGACCCCTTTAAAGTTTCAGAAATGCATCCAACTGCATTCATTTCGCATTTAGAGGTCTAATAAAAAGTCTCTTTTCAACAGCAGTGGGTAAAGTTTTCCGATAGATACGTCTAGCTTTTCATCATTGCAAACTGTTGTGAAGGATATCTCAGAGATGACAACATCGCAAACAAAACAGGATGAAATGCTCAGAAATAATGCATTTTTTTCCCACAGTGAAAGTCGAGCTACATGAAATTTAGACTGGTAATAAATGGCATAATGAGTTTGAACACTGTGAGATATTCCCTGTGTGCGTGGTCATCGCTGACTAATGTGACATTACTGGAGAAGTTTAACGCTCACAGTCAATCACCGAGAAGCTAATTCTAATTCTTGTGTGCGTTTCCATTATCCATCATAATCCACAAGGGAGAAGTTGTTATAACTAAGAGACAAATTTCTGTTTGCCTGCTGCCAAAAATAATTTAAAAAAGCAACTGTGAAAATGAGCTCTCCAGCTAAATGATAAATTAGACTCTCTGTGAGAACTGACTTCTCCTGGGTTACCGACGATTGCAAATAGAAGTATTTCCACACTCTTTTTCAGAGCATCCACTTCCTGCAGAATCTAATACATACCTCTGAGAGATTCTTTGACCTCAGTTTTCTTGCGAACCATTGATTTGGGTCTTAAAGTCAAGCTCCACAGCTCTAAATGCACATTTGAGACTGATCTGACCTCTCGGGTTAAACAAGTTTTTGACTGAAGCCTTACATAAAAAGGCACGAAGGACTGAATGTCCTCCAGTTCTTCTGTAACACTATTAAAACTGGTTTATAACTACACAACTGACACGTCTTAGCTTTGGCATCTTCTGACACATTTCTGACATCTTAGCTTTGACAGATGGGTTTTTTATTTAACAAAGTTCAAACCTCAAGTAGGGCTGCATGATTTGGAGGGGAAAGAAAACTGATTTGTGATTTTTCAGATAAAAATTGTGATTGTGATTTAAAATGCAATTTATAAATAAATAAATGCTACTACTACTACTAAATAACAATATTAAGATAAATAAAAAGCAAAATAAGAAACATCACTATTGTAATATTTCACTGTAAAATCAAGTACACTGAAAAAATGCCATATTTACAAGGAATCAGCAAGAATTAACTGAATTAAACTATTATAATATATATAAAATATTACTACATTTTTAAATTTAAAGACTGAAATAGTATTTTCTTGTAAGATATACTCCAATAATCATTTTTATTTACAATTTCAAATAGATAAATAAATAAAAAAAATTTTTTTTTTACAGTGTATTAAAGAAAATTAATGACAATTTTATTTTACATTACAACTGTAAAATTACAATATGAATAATACGGCTGTTTTAATTTCATAAATTCACAATTTCGATTTTATTTGTATTAATCTTGCAGCCCTCAGCAAGAAATAAATCCAACTTCTTACAATTTTTCTTTAAGGTCAAAATAAGGTCATAAACGTTATTTTATTATTATTTAATAATGATAATTAATAATAATTAATAATAAGTTAAATAATCATAATAATAATTGAAAAAATGATTATATAATAGACACGTCTTAGCTTTGGCATCTTCTGACACATTTCTGACATCTTAGCTTTGACAGATGGGTTTTTTATTTAACAAAGTTAGAAATTCAAACCCAGCAAGTAGGGCTGCATGATTTGGAGGGGAAAGAAAACTGATTTGTGATTTTTCAGATAAAAATTGTGATTGTGATTTAAAATGCAATTTATAAATAAATAAATGCTACTACTACTACTAAATAACAATATTAAGATAAATAAAAAGCAAAATAAGAAACATCACTATTGTAATATTTCCCTGTAAAATCAAGTACACTGAAAAAATGCCATATTTACAAGGAATCAGCAAGAATTAACTGAATTAAACTATTATAATATATATAAAATATTACTACATTTTTAAATTTAAAGACTGAAATAGTATTTTCTTGTAAGATATACTCCAATAATAATTTTTATTTACAATTTCAAATAGATAAATAAATAAATAAATAAATATTTTTTTTTACAGTGTATTAAAGAAAATTAATGACAATTAATGTAACTGTAAAATTACAATATTAATAATACGGCTGTTTTAATTTCATAATTTCACAATTTCGATTTTATTTGTATTAATCTTGCAGCCCTCAGCAAGAAATAAATCCAACTTCTTACAATTTTTCTTTAAGGTCAAAATAAGGTCATAAACGTTATTTTATTATTATTTAATAATGATAATTAATAATAATTAATAATAAGTTAAATAATCATAATAATAATTGAAAAAATGATTATATAATAATAATAAATAATAATATTGGTTATTTTATTGTATTATTTATTTTATTATTTAGAATAATATGCATCCATGAGTCACTCAGAGCAACAATGTGTATTAAGAAAATAAACAGTGTAATTCTAAATTCCATTTGGATATTAAATACCTTCAGTGAAGTGAAACCACATAATGACCAGTGAAATCAGTCATACTATAATGTTGCAAAACATGCTAGAGTTAAAACAAGACCCTTGCAGCCAAAAGTGTTGAAACCATCATAAGAAACAATGAAAATGACTCATTAGATCACCTACATCCAACATCGCTGCTTCATTTAGGAACGTGTTTTTCCCCCTGCAGTTCACTTTTATAATGCAGTAAAAATTAAATAACACTTGAGAAAAATCAAGGTTGTTCTTTTTAAAGGCCTCTGCAATGAGAGCCATTTCCAACAAACATCTGGAAGCGAGCAGCACTTTGTTTGTCCGTGTTTATTCTGCTTTTGGAGGAGATGGGCCAAAATGTCTGAGCTTGCTTGGATTTCTGAAAATGAAGGATTTTGAAAGGAAAACGAATCATTACTCGTGGGTCACATCTCGAATCACCTCATCATATTTAGGGTGATTTCTACAGGGGAGCTCAGAAGCGGCCAGCGCCTGCATTAAAAGCAGACGAATGGAGCCAGGTTAAAGAAGACTGAAAGATTAAGTGATTACAGAATATGAATCAATGTTGGATGCTTTTCAAAGATGTTTTTCCAACTCGTGTTCCATGACATTGTGGGAAACTGTGGAGCAGAGGCACACCTGCTGTTCACCAATAATTAGGCAATTAAGATTTGCTTAGTGCAAAACTCTGTAACATCAAGCCTCATTCATGAAAAATGAGCGGAGCAAATGTCTGTGTAAGTTGTTCCTAAGACTACGCTTACGTAAATCACATTTGAATACTACGATGATGTTCCTTGCATTTATATCAGCGCCACTGCAACACCACTACTGAATCTACAGCACGAATCATACAGAGTAGACTTGTGCCGGTATTCGGTAATGCGATATATCACGGTAATGAACATGCACGATATTGTTATCGTGGGCACTTCTAAATACCGTGAATAATTATATATTACAAATTATTCAGAATTTTGAATGCATTTTAAGAATACTTTTCCCATCAACTGGTCAAAATGCACAACACCGCCGTATGCTGCATGAAAGATGCGTGCGCACTCTGATGTAAACAAGCGCA